ATATATATATATACATATATATATTTTGATAGATTTCAAGAGAAAAAAATATTTTTTCTCTTTTAAAATTCTTTGTGAAAAATGGATTTTAAATTAATTAAAGGATACATTGTTTTTATCAGATAGAAGATATTTAATATAAATTTTGAAGACTACATATTTTTATAGATCTATGAATTTATGAGCTTACGTATGATTACAAATTTGTACGTCAGTTCTGTGAATCATTAAATTTATTGCTTCTGATTTATTCTCCTTGTAGATTTATAAATAAACAAACAGGCAAATTAAATTAATAACCATAGTAATCAAAGAATAACGAGCAAACGACAAAGTATCAAGTACCTGCACCTAAATTTAATCATGCCGAGGGCGCAATAATGGTCGAAATTGTTCGTCGTGAACGCCGAAAGCTTTGTACTAACAGCACCGCCTCCAAACATCACTGACATCCGCTAATCATTTGCCACCGTCGTAGATTGTAGGCATATAGGACGCACCTGTACTAGTACCCGTACCAATACCATGCGACTAGTGCGGTTTACTAATTGTCGGTGTACTGAACGGGTTTGCACGGAGGGTAATGTCTCTACATCGTGAACTATCGATTAATCGCGGATTTGTGAATGCATTGTGAACCTAATGCGAAAAGATTACGATTAGGAAAGAATTTAATATATAGAAAGGAAAAGATAAATTTTATAAATAATCTTTTATAAAATGAATAATATAACAATAGAAATAATGATGCAAATTTTATATATATATATATATATATATTAGAGCGCGGTGCACAAAAGACGTAATTCTGTGATTTACGTAAACCTCTCAGCATGACCAAATTTGTTTCTAAAGTCCACAGAGCTCGTGGCGAATAAGGGAATGCGATTCCCGAATAGAGGGTCATCCTGTTAATCCTCCGGAGACTTAATTCTGGGCCTCCGTAAATCTCGGTTAAGGTCTGTTTGATGATAGCAGATAGCATAGCTCGCCCGGATTTAATTGAGATACGCAGTCGCTCTTAACACGCCTTCCTGACTCTGTAGTCGCTCTTAAGTCTCATCTCGAAG